GCTCGAGTTGACCTGCCTGAACTAGCTCGCAGGCTTTGCTCCATTTAGTGAAGGTGTGGGATCTCCCCTTAATTAAACATAATTATCTTTTTATAAGCACCTTATTCCCAGTACCCCCGCCCATGCTGTCTACAGAATAGTACTGTATATACAGTATATATACTATTTTAAGAAGAGCCATCTGTGACCTTTCACTGTATGTGTTCACACTGTCAGCTTAGTTTTGCAATATGACGAGTTGCAGTTTTCAACCAGCACATACGGGATCCTCTCAAACGCACAATCTTTATCGCTGAAGATGGTGAGAATGTGTGGAATTGACAAGTCAGATAACGAAGACAGTTTCCTCAGCACACAACCAAAGACACTCCTCGGAAAAGGCTGCAAGTTTGTTAGTGTGTAGCAAAGCTGTTTGCTTGAAAAGGTGCTGTTCTCATAAAAGATTAATAGTTGCCTAGTGGCCCTGAGGCACCCAAGCCAACAACTCAGGATTCATAAATAAAGCTAAATGGATCAATATTTCCAGGACTTCAGAGGTAACCTATGGCTACCACTACCTTGAGAGAGAAAACTTTGAGAAAGGTTAGGTTTTAATCGAAGCCTTCCCCCAGTAATAATAAAGAAAGTGTGGTATTTAATCATCAGAACTGTGCGGTAACCGATTCACATACTGTGAAATAGAGGAATTCAGGTACTGTATCTTCTGTAATCATAAAAGTAAAGGACCAGTTTCATAGTACTATATTGTAATTATTCTCACCAAACTGTAGAAATATTGTGCTAACACTACAGCACAGTCCTTTTTCTAGTTTAAGGAAAATAAAGGGAATAGAGTAGAAAGTATGGATGATTGTGGCTGATGCATTCGTTGTCTCAACAGCCAACATCAGATGCTCATTAATCAACTTTTATTGAAGCAAAGTGCCAAAACATGACATATTACCCTGGGAAGAAAAACTCACATGACAAATATGACAAATAGAAACATTTCCCTGTAGTTTGCAAAGCCATTATCTTGGCAGCATGATCATGATAATTATGATGCATGTTTTGATTGTACAAGCTGTCACCAGTGAATATCTAACAAATATATACAAATTGTGTTTATTTGGGTTTCGTCTATCGTTATTTGACACTGCAGGAAGTTTAAAATGTCCTAAAACTGTATTTTCTAGTTTACCAGGGTGTCTATGACACTGCTCATTACATAACCAGTGTTTCAGATTTTTTTGTATGTAGTGTAATGTAATGTTCTTAAGTACTTGTAATTAATCTGAGTATTTTCCATTTCTGATACTAGTTCTACTCCTCTGCAATTGAGAAGCAAATATTGTACTTTTTGCTAAACTACTACTATTTTGCAACTCGGCACTAGTTACTTTGTAAATTAAGAATAAAAACAAAAAAACAACATGAGAACATGAAGTATGATAAATTGTTCACATGTTAACCAGTAGTAGCTGGAAAAGTTAATTTCATTACAAATGTATGTGTTAACTAATGCAACAATATAGATAACATAACAATGACAAGAGTCAATCTGCTGCATTATGAATGCTATTACTTTTAATACTTTAAGAACATTTCGCTGACAATACTTGTCATTATACTTATATAAAGTCTTGAATGCAGGACTTTTACATATTAAGTTACATTCTTATATTGTAGTATTACAATATAAAGTAAAATAATACTTTTACATAAGTAACAGATCTGAGGGCCACTGAAAACAACATACTTCACTGCACACAACCTGTGTTTCAGTATTTTTTTGTCTTTATTGTTGCGTTGGTGTTAAGACCCTAAATGTTACACAATCGAATGTATAGTAGATGTTCTCACAAGACATGCTAATACTAAGGTTGTTTTTAATATTTGGTATTTGTGATATCCATGAAAGACGTAAGGCCTGTGGCAATGCTCCTGGACAGGAAAGTAACAACTCTTGCTGACTCATCCATGTGTTTTATTCTTTTCTTTCTCTCCCAAGGGGACTAATGCCACGAACACTAGACAGCCAGATCACATTAGAGAAGACTCCAAGCTATTTTGTCACCAGAGAGGCACCCAGACGCATCTCCAGCATGTCTCATGAGACCAAGCTGATTGTTGTGGTGCGTAACCCAGTGACAAGAGCAATCTCCGATTACACACAGACTCTTTCCAAGAAGCCTGACATCCCCACGTTCGAGGAGCTGGCCTTTAAGAACAGAAGTGTGGGTCTCGTCGACACTTCCTGGAATGCCATTCGGATCGGGATGTACATTCTGCACCTGGAGAACTGGCTGCAGTACTTTCGCCTTTCACAGATACACTTTGTGAGCGGGGAGCGGCTGATCACAGATCCAGCAGGGGAAATGGGTCGCGTTCAGGACTTTTTAGGACTGAAACGAATAATCACAGACAAGCACTTCTACTTCAATCGAACCAAAGGCTTCCCCTGTCTGAAGAAACCGGAGAGCAGCAGCCAGCCGCGCTGCCTCGGCAAATCCAAGGGCAGGACTCACGTACAGATCGAACAGGAGGTCATAGAGCAGCTGCAGGAGTTTTATAGGCCATTTAATATAAAATTCTATGAAACTGTGGGACAAGACTTCAAGTGGGACTGAGAATACCATAGAAACAGAGCTGTTTTTAAAATGGCCTACCTCTGGAGACAAATATAAATGAGGGTATCTTTGACAGAATATTTAAATGACAAGTTTACTGAGCTATGTACAAACTGAAAAATTAATATAGAATACTATACAACTCAGACATTATAATATAATTATATAGTGAATGGTTTCACATTATTTTGGGGTTTGGGTCTAGTCATTCTGATAAGTGCCATTTCTTTAAAAAATATATATACAAAACCCAAGTTTCTTTACCACATACAAGACATGAAATCATCAACAGGTAACCAGAATTAATTCATTAACCAAGTCATTAACCAGCAATCATCCCAATGCCTTCCTGTCCTTTAGCCACACCAGGCCTACATTAATGACATTGCTTGAATATTCATTGCCTAGATTGCTTATTTATTCATAATTTCCACTCAAAATGAACCACAGGCTTTACTGTTCAAATGAGCATGAAGTTCCAGCAAAATGTCAAATGAATAATAAAATCAGCCTGTCAGTTATTCTGCAACTAAATCTATCACGGTATTGTTAATGAAGGGTCATAGTTACAAGTTTGCTGAATTAATGTAATTGAGAAGAAAAAATAACCGCTATAGTAAGACAGATAACACTGATTAAGGTTTGTTGAACTCTACTTCAGCTCTTTCTGTGTCAGTATTTTTGTTGTGATCATCAAAATAAAGGGTCTTAAATTCAAATATTTATTTGAAATCTTTTCTGTTTTTCTTGCCTACACAGTTGTCAATGTCAAAACTTTAAACTTGCCCTAGCCATAAAGCTCTGTTCTCATACTTCAATTACATTCAGACTTTATGTGATTTAGGAATTCACCTGCACATTTGAGCATGACATTCCCTCACAACTCTTGGCCAAAGTTTAAGGAATATATAAGACAGCACAAAGAAGTTTGTATTGAGCCTATTGTGATAAAACTTCCCTTACCAAATGCTGCCATGCATGTCATTGCTCTCATTAACTTTCGAGATTCGTCTTTTGATGGATTTCATCGTGCTTTCTCTGAATGGGTCTAGCAGCTACATTAACCTTCTGAATTTGCACCCTGAAGCCAATCAAAGTTGTCGTTAATAATTTCTACTGAAATTTCCAAAATTCTTGACATAAAAGAGGAATAAATTGCAGAAAACTAAAGGATCTATGCAAAAAGTAGCAATATTGCAATAAAAGCTCAAATAAATTATGTAAATTCATGCTGGACATATCTGTGTTCTGTGAAATATGGCAGCAAATGCACAGTGGACATTTTATTGTACAGATTACAGATGTCAGACCAGCACAGGATTAAGAACAAAGACAACCTCTGCAATTATTTCAAATTAAGTCCCAAGGTAATATTTGATTGGTCCTTAGATTTAACTTTCACTGTGAACCGACCACATTTGACCTTCCAGCACTGCTGAAACTGCAAGCGCTGGCATGTTGTCTAGGTTTAACATTCACTTATCCTAATAATATGGATGAATTATGGTTAGTATAGTATGGTTAATGAATGAGATGTTGACATCCTCCCTACATCAGTCCCTGATCTTTTTTGGTGCCACTGAATAATACTGCTTAGCGATTTTTGTTTATGGCTAATTTATTTTTCCGCAGTCGGAAACACAGCAGCAGGAACATTTTAGGTTTTTCCCTTTTTTCTTGATATGGTAAAATCTGAGCATTCCCTAACTAAAATTGAACACACAATCGAAATTCAGAATAGCTTGCCTTTTGTTCAAAAGTATTGCAAACACAAAACTTCCAGTGAAGGCATATGTATTATTATTATAATTTTTCATAAAGATATTTGTCTTTTTGATGTTTTACAGCATGATGTTTGAAGGTAAAGACTTAACGTACCTCCTGGATAAATATATTTTACCAATTCATTCACTTGTAATTAACTGTTCTAACAGGTTATTTAAGGACATTTTAAAATGATAATAGAAAGTATGATAATCTAAGCAAAGCACCCTGGCTGAAACAGCCAAGTTAAGCTGCTATGGTAATGATGAAACAGTACTTGGGGTATGAAAAATGTCTGTGACTTCTTCCATAGGTGTTTCTCTTTCATTTTTTTAATCCCTCGCTGTAGGGCTGTGAATTGAGCAGCCCTATCTAGTCACACTTATGCTAATGTACAAATGTGACAATGTGACCTTCCATATTAAGGAAATTTGATATTCACTTGCATTCCAACTGTGCTCTTGCAGTACATGTTGGCCAACAGCAGTATTTAAATTGTAATTTGCAATATTCTCCATTATTTTTTGATTAACCTGCCAATGTCATCTGCAGCTGCATGCTACTTACTGAGCCATCAGCAGACATGCCAGTTAAGCAATAAGCTCAACTTTATCTCAGCACAGTTAATTATAACTTTTCCCAAAGAATGCTTAGGGCTTGATGACATGGCACTGAGAAAAAACTTCCACACCGCTGCCACCGTATGATACCCAATGAATACTTTGATGTGTTATAAGTTTCCATGTGATTTCTGTTGAAGAACTTTTCGGGGAATATGCATGCCTCTTTAACAGAATGCAAGGCATGTTACAGAGAGGAAAATGGCAGCTTTCAAAGTTCTGCACCTCTTTTTAAAAAATGCTTGTGCTTTAAGTTTTATGCTTTCTCGCTGTATTAAGGCATCCAACAGCTGCAATGACACACATGCAGTTGTGGCAATGAAAACACACTGTTCATTGATGTCGATATTGTATTAATGCCTCACTTTGAAAGAATGAAATGTTCTGGGTAACTAAAAACTGTCTAACTGACCATTCTAACCTTCAAAGTAAATACCAAAGAAGCTGTTGTAAATGTCATGAACTTTGAAAGACTCTGAGGTAAAATACATCTCTGCCACTCATCAGAAATGTCTAACAGTACACAAAAAAATCTATTACCATGGAGTCTATTTATTTTCCTTCTTATTAATTAAAAGAAATAATGAGGCAGCATTCAAATATGTGATTTGCAGTCATCTCTTTTGGACTCCAAAGCTGTAGAGGTCTTTTATAACTCCTGCCTTGAAAACCTATTGAAATTCTACTGAGGCGCCAAACCTGAAACTTCACACACTTTACAAGCTCATGTCTGTAATCTCTGTGTTGTGGGGACCACATTTGAAGAGAAACAGTTGCGAATGTTAAGTGTCCAAGAAAGCACCATAACTATAGGCTGCTTCAACAACTGCATCAATGACAAAAATAAAAATTATATAAAAAATATTAAGACTATCTTAAAATGTTTATTGGATTCTTGTGGATAATGTACTAAGTTTGTTGCTATTTCTTTTCTGATGTCACTTGAATATCCCAGATGTAATGCAAACAGCTTGTTTCTTACTGGAATGTGCAGTTTCTCCAAGAGGATTTCTTCCATTTGGGGAACCAAGTATTTATATCTAGACTTGTCCCCCATAATGAGCCAAAGCTATGGAGGATAATGAGGATGTTCCTTTTCTCCAATGGACAATGAGAAGAGCAGACTTCCCTTCAGATGATTTGAAACTTGGCAGCCAAAAACCCCTCCAGAGGAAATCTCATTAAATACTAAAATGGTATGTGTGCTAACCGCTACCTGCATCATTGCACCTTTTGAATATGTCATCATTTCCCAAGGTTTCTCCCGGAACATGTTCTATCACTGTGTATCATACAAGCTATTTCTCTAAATTAAAACATGTACCAAAAAAAAAATTATTCATATCCTCTGCAGATGCATGTTGGTATTTTCTCAGGATGTGTCGGTGTCTCTGCAATGCTGCCTCATGCCTAATGTAATACAACTGACAAGCTCTGTTTCACACTAATGAAAAGATTCCCATTAAAGAAGCCATGCATTCTTGAGGAAAACAAGGAATAACACAGTCACACATGCACACTGATTGTACACACACGCTCCACTATCCAGTATGAAAACCTTTCCCCTCACCTCATTTCCTCTGGTCTGTTGAACATGTGCTGCTTGCCTTACCTTCAGAAAGGTCAAGTGCGGAATGGGTCTCCAGGCACAGAGTCAACTAATTAAGCAGTAGTGGTGGAAGATGCATACCAGCTCCTGGGATACCGCAGCGGTTGGTAGCCACCCTCAGGGGTAACGAACATATTGTTTCACATGCAAGCGAGGTAGGGATTTGCATTACATTGTTCTCATGCAAATGTAAAAGAACTCTATGCTATGGCAGGAAAGAAACTGCGTGATGAAAAAGGTGCTTTCTACTTACTGTTCTTGTGTGTAGCCAGAAATCATTAAATACATTGTTACTGATGATATGATACATAATTCCTGCATTTTGATAGTGTTAGTATGGACAGGAAATAAGTCTAGAGGCTGTAAATGCAGTATGTATGTAAGTATGGATGGATTCTAAGAGAGATTCTCAGAGAGAGTTTTAAGTCTTGTCATTTTGTCAGCTGACATCTCATTAAAGAAAAGGTTCCTACATGTATATATCATGTGCCTTGGCTGTTGCAAGGCAACCAGTTGATATTCCAGGAACTTACTTATCTCAGCCAAGAAATAGTCAGGTACACAACCCCCTGTAAAAATATGAATTGTTGTTTTTTACATGAGGAAATTGATAATTTCTAAATTTTAGAGGTGCTCGTAGGCAGATTTTATTACCTTCAGACAATTCCAGGCTGGCTGTTTCACCCACATCAAGTCTGTGCTATGCTAAGTTAGCCAGCTGCTGGCAGTAGCTTCATATTTACCATAAAGTCAAGAGAGTAGTATCAATCCTCATATGTAACTTTCTTCCTGAAAGCAAAAAGCATGTTTCCCATAATGTCGAACTAGTCCTTTAAGTTTCAAAAATATCTGGATTACATTTAAAGGACCATTGTGTAGGATTTAGTGACATGTAGTGTCTGGGATATTTTCAGGTGATTATACACTAATGAAAACATAATATTATATTCCATTTGTGCCAATAGATCCTCCTCAGTGTTACACACTGGACCCCACAGTAAATTAACTTGTGTTTTCTGTAATTTTTTATTTTGTTGTTTTTAGTTTTTGCCCATAATGCCAATATCTGATCTTTATATGTGATATGCCAAAATATGATTTTTTTTTTTGTTACCACAACAGCTTCCCAGTGCTGTAATACCTGTAACCTTCAAGACATCTGTTAAACAGCATTTCATTCAAATGCTGTTTTGTTGGAAAATCAAACTGGAAGACAAAAGATAAACAAACTCTTATGGAGCTTCGCAAGTCGAACAGTTGTTCAGTGTTGGCAGGAGACTGCACTCTGCCCACCGCCTTCCATTTAAATATGGGATCAGACAGGAAGTCAATTTAGTGTACAGGACTGCGCCCAGGGGACGCCCAGAGGAAAAAAACGGGTCCGCAGTGATAACAGACACCCTCTCCAGGATGCCGTCAGTCTGAGTCTGTAACTTAGATAATTAAGTCCTTATTCAACAGAGGGAATGTGCCCGACGGCTTGTTCAGGGAAGCAGAATACAATAAGGAGCTCTGCCAAATGACCACCACTTACCCAAACTTTCGTCACTTTTGTCATTCATGCCAAATCCCAGAGCCCGCAAGCCTCAGCTATAAGCAGCTCAAACAGATCCTGAAACTTTTAAAATCCCAGCGGGTGGTGAAAATTAATAGCACTTCACTCTGAACAACACTGAGAGTTCACTTAACTACAAATTGAAAGGAAAA